GCTTTCTGGCTGTGGAACCCAGGGTTCGAATCCTGGCACGGCCACGTAAGCCCACTGTTTCCCCCTTTTGCTGACCAGTTCCTCCCCTCCGTCTCTGTGTCCGCAGGTGCAACACCCAGGACTACATCTGGCACAAAGGGATGCGCTGTGAGTCCATCATCACGGACTTCCAAGTGATGTGCGTGGCCGTCGGCTCGGCCGCCCTGGTGGTGCTTCTCCTCTTCATGATGACCGTCTTCTTTGCCAAGAAACTCTACCTGCTCAAAACGGAGAACAGCAAGCTACGCAAGACCAAGTGAGTGGGCGGCATGTGTCCGCGGGTGGCACGGATCGGGTGGGCAAGCAGGTGGGCAGAGGGGCTATTTCTTCCCTGTGGGTGGACCGAGACTGGCCATCCATGGGAGGAAGACATAGGGTGGATCTACACTAGGAATGATGCAGTTTGACCCCACTTTTAAGTGCTGTAACTCCATCCTATGGAAACCCTGGGACTTGTAGTTTTAGAAGGTCTTGCATCTCCACTGTCGAAATGATGCAGCTTGACCCCACTTTAAGTGCTGTAGCTGCATCCTGTGCAAACCATGGGATTTGTAGTTTTATAAGGTCTTTAGCCTTCTCTGGGTGTCCTTATGGGGTGCCAGTGCCGCCCCCCTAACCCACAACAGTTGGCAGCCCCAGCACTCGGATGTGACCACACTTTGACAATGGATGTGTACAAGCAGCCAAGGTAGAAAGGAAGGCAAGAGAGAAGAGGAAGGTGTTAAAATGATGAATGAAGGAGACAAGGTTCAATTTGCCATGGATCAATCTCTCCTGCAGCCCAGCCTGTCTTGTAGGGCCATGCCGGACTGGAAGGATTCAAGTCAGGGGTGGCATATATATTCCCCATGGGCCTAAACCCATTTTGGCAGCCCAAAGGTCCACAAAGGCCATTTTTGTAAAGATAAAAGGACAATGGTGTCGCTTTTTCTCCATGCAATGCAAGGCCACTGAACCTAACAGTGAAAACCAGAAGCGGATATCCAATCACTTCCACTTCTGATTTTCTAAAGAAACGGATTTCCAAGCCTGATGCAGCCCATCAGGGATGACGTTTTGGGCCCAGCCCCACTTACTTGCCAGTCTGTTCTCCAGAAGTTGATCATGGAACCATTCTAGAGGACCCACAAATGCCTAGAGAAGTGTTTTCTCTAGGAACTTCTAGGTTCTCCAACACAACTCTATGGTCAAATTCTTGCGCTGGAGGACCTAGAGGTTCCTAGAGAGAACATATTAATCAAGACCGCAATGAATCAGAACTGCAAATGTGGAGGGCCGACTGTACATCATGCCTCCGACAACTGCAAACACAATTCTTGATTCACGGACCAGGTGTGAAAAGAAAGCAGCGCCGGACTTAGTCGGAGGGAACTTCGGGGCGGCGGATTTGATGTCCGCACGTGTTATGCTGGCTCTTGACTTTCCCAAGCAGGGATCCCAGCTCCTGACAGGGAAATTCCTCTCCTGGCTCAGACTTCTTGTGATTTACGGGGTAGCCTTTGAGCTGGGAAAAATGCCAAGTGTGTGTGCTTGTGTGTATGTGTGCATACAAGATGGAACAACTCACCCAGACGACAATTTGCTGCTCTCTGCGGACTGTAAATTTTCCAGGTGCGTCAGAGAGACAGGAGGGAAAGGTGAAATAGAATGGCAGAGATGGGTGGAGGGAAGAGGCAGAAATATCACCAAGAAATAGCTAGACATCCCAAGGTGTGTGTGTGTGTGTGTGTGTGTTTGAGTTTGAGTGTGTGAGAGATAGCAACAACACTGATGTTGTAGCTAGTGCCACTTCAGCCACTTTTAGAAGAGCAGTCTCCCAGACCAAGGGTGCATCTACACTGTAGAAACAACGCAGTTTGACACCACTTTAAGTGCTGTAGCTCCAAGGCTTTTGGAGATTTGTAGTTTTGCAAGGCTTTTTGCCTTCTCTGCCAAAAAGAGCCAGTGCCTCACCAAACTGCAAATCCCAGGATTCTATCAGATGGAGCCAGAGCAATTAAAGTGGTGCCAAACTGCATTATTTCTACAGTGTAGATGCACCAGTGGGCATAGAAAAGTTATCTTTCCCTGGACTGTAACTCTTTGAGCTCCTCGGACAATGTGGCCACAGCAGTGTGGCAGGTAAGGTGGCTTCCATGTCAGTGGGACAGTGGATCTGTCCTGGGTTTTAGTCCAAGTTTCAAAGATGGGGGGCATCCAAAAGGCTGCATCTTACTCCCCAGAATAGGTTCATCACCTTGCATAGCTCCATTTAAATTCAGACAAAAATTGGTGCCACTCTCCCTGACATGGAAGCTGCTACTGGGTCACTGGTCGTGGTCCAAAATGAACAAATGAACTGGCAAGTAAGTGAAACTGGGGC